ACTATTACTTTGAATAATTCTATGTAGAAAGGTGATAAAACAATGATGAGGCAATTCAATCTTCTTTCTGTGTTAGCATTTGAGTAAGATAACAGTATGTGCAAAAATGATCATACATATACTCTATTATCTATCTGTCCATATGTCTATTATCTATTGGTCTATGTATCTATTTATCATTTATGTATGTATGTATGTATATATGTATGTATGCATATATGTATGTATGTATGTATGTATGTATGTATCTATCTATCTATCTATCTATCTATCTATCTGAGACAGAGAGGGTGTTCCTAAACCGTGACCTGGAAGAGCATATTAATTATTGCCCCTGCAACTCTGCAACTCACTGCATGCCCTCTCTGTTTACTCTCTGTCATCCTGGCTCTACTCTGTTCATGGGGAATTCCTTGTTCTTTTCTCAGTGCTTCACTCTAAGGAATTCTCAGTTGTCTTCTCTAATTTCACATAGATTTTTGTTGAAGCAGCATCTACCTGTAAAGTCTTCCCTGTCCATCCTATCTGAAATATTTATTCTCATTCATGTTTCACCCTTTTAGTGACTTATTTCAACAGTGATTGGCAAGCATATCTGTCTCTTTCTGCCCTTTCATTCTCTATGGAAACTGAGGATATGCAACACATTATTTAAATAATAGATACTTAAAAACATACATTAGTAAATATTGATATAATTTTGTTAGTTTCTTTATTTTAGTAGTAACAAGACTATTTAAAGTTCTTCTTGAGTTTATCTATAGACAGTGCTTCATAATTTTTATCTAGTAAGTTTCTAAAAGATACACAGACAAGTAGATATTATAGAATCTGTGAACTGTTAAATTTTCTTTCTATCCTACTAAATACTTTCAGTAATTACTTTCAGTAATACTTTATTTTCCAGATGATCATATTTAATATTGTCTAGTCAGACGTAAGAGTACCTTGACCTTAATAAATATCTTTTCAATTGAAATCTCCAAGCATTTGAAAAGCTGCAAAGCCCCAGAGACTTTATTTCTTGCACCAGCTAAATTGCATTTCCTTTGTTAGCTGTAACAGCCTCATCTTGCTAATTATAAACATTGATTTGATGTGATATGGGTTGGTTGCTTCCTATTACCTCTTATACAGCTCATCTTGTTTCTTTCAAATGACACTATATTTTAAAATTTATGTTGAATTCAATTCTTATTAATTTAAATTACTATGTGGTTGATATTGTAGTGATATAAAATTTCATTTACTATGAGATATACAATATATAAAGATGAAGCAATTTACACACAACAAAGTCCAAATTGTTTTTGCCATTTACATAAAATCAGATACAATATCACTTTACCTATTTTAAGTTACTTAAGAAGAGACATAAAACCTTTTAAAGCACACTGTAACTAAGTTGTTAAAATACATAATAACATTGGTTTGCTAAGCACAGATATTCATAGCTAATGGAAATAATAAACTATTAGCAGTGCTCTGAAATGTGGTTCCTTAATTACAAAGACTTTCAGTAGAGTTTTTGAACATCTAATATTCCTTATAATGAAATCAACAACACATTTTAGAACAGTGGTTCTCAACATTCCTAATGCTGTGACCTTTTAATATAGTTCCTCATTTAGTGGTGACCCCCAACTACAAAATTATTTCATTGCTACTTCGTAACTGTAATTTTGCTATTGTTATAAATAATAATGTAAGTATCTAATATACAGAATATCTGATATGTGACCCCCAAAAGTATAGCAACTCAAAGGTTGAGAACTACTGTTTTACAGTATGCTCTTTTATTTGGCAAATGTCTATAAAATATAGTTAAAAATTGTTTCCTCAATTTCTATGCTGTCAATCCTGAATGTTGTTTCCTTCAAAGGATATTTAGTGTATGAATATGCCACATTAGTAAATACTGTGATTGTTTTATAGCAGAGACAAGGATTTGTACCAACAAATTAATGAATTTCAATTTCTGGTGGCTATTAATTATTAAAACACCAAACAAATGAAAACAAATAAATTTATATTTGATGCCTTTTGGGGAAATAAAATGCCATTTCCTGGGGATGAATACTAGGCTCAAGTCCAAGGTCTACAGATGTTACCTTAGGCTGAACTTATCATTTTTACTGGCTACTGACTGCCATATATACCCCAGTTGCTACGCTAAATGGAGATATCTGGTATCTTTTATCCTTATATAGGATTTATAAAAACCAAAAACCTTATTTCTTTCCTTTATAAACTTCAAAATTAAAGATTGTGTAACAACGAAATGGACGTTAGGGGCCTCATTTACACTGTTTTATGTTGAAACATTCTCAGCAGTTTACTTGTGTCTCCTGCTATATTTGTTTGCATGGGACTATTCCTTTCATCGTGAAAGAATAGTGTTAATTTACTTGAGAAAACAAAGTTTGTTTTCAATGGAAAGGACACAGATTTTTAAAATTTAGGTACAACTAGTGCACATCTCATTCAAAGGCACTGTCTGTGAGGGATGTCAGCCTTCCTTGCTGCCTCATCTTGTGTTTAGGGAATATCGACATGTTCATTTTTGCAATTCAAATGGTAGATGTGGCTTTTAATGCTAGATTATAAAAGACCATGGCCTTTCTGTTTTTTGTCTTGTTCATTCCACAGCTTATGCTTGAAGATCTAATCACCTGTGTCGTGTTGAAACCAAAACCATACCGAGAGGACTTAGGCAGACATCCTGGAGGACCACCTCAGACAGACTTTTTTCAGATTTCTATGCTGATGCTAGACAGCATGAGTTTCACATTGTGAAGAACTGGATTCTTCTGGCAAGCAGCTAAGAACCTTGTAGTGCATGTTAGTCTTGCAAGGCTCCCAATAAGTCAAGGAAATAGTTTATGTTGAAGCATGTGCCTCTTCCTGAGAAAGTATACAGTGAATGGAGAAAAAAAATCTACAAATAATTTAAAGCCAACACACAAATAATTTTCTTTCTTTAGCAATGAAACACATCAATACATACATATCTGTTCTATTCATTTTGATGTGTGCTGTGTGTTTTGAGGTAAAAAATAGATCATGTTGGCACACTTAGGGGTGAGAAGCTTGTCAAAAATGATTCCAAAGTGTATTTAACAGGTACAATTGGGAATCACACAGATGTTTTTTATATTTATTATTCATGATACACTGACCAACTTTGTTACCTGTGCCACTGCAAACCAAGAATTCTAATTTTAAAGTTATCATTAGTCTGACACCAGTGCATGGGCTCTGTCTTGCATAATTCCAGGCAAACTTTGCTGTTATCTGGAGTAGTCCTCCAGACTGCTTTTGACAAGTTTGATGTTCTTCTGTTCATTCCTTTGCACCCCAGCTTCTGTATGTGTATTTCTGTTTCCTTGCTGATTTAACTTTAAATTGCTCTCATTGTGGAACTGTCAAATTCAATAATTGAGCTTGGATAAACAAAGAAAAGGGTGTATGATGATCTGTAAAAAAATGAAGAATTCAATGTAGAATCACTTTAAAAATAGAGAATTCTTGATATGAAAAATACATATATATGTGTATATTTTCCTTAGTACAAGAACAATTCCCATAACAAACTTGTGTCTTATCCTTTAGTTCCTCAGGGAAATGCAAAATTCCTTCCATTGATCAGAATGCGTAGCTCAAAATCTTTAAGCTATATAACCAGGGTTCCATTTACATTCAGTTATGACATACAGAGAAATGAAGAATGATAAAGCTGAGCAGGCTAAGGATAATAATAATTGCTTTATTTTAAAAAATATCCTGAAGCATTTTTCTTCTAAAATGCATATTTCAAATTTTCAACTGTCATTCATATTTTACACTCATATGACAGTTAAGGGACAAGCACTTCACTTCCCATTGGAAGAGATATTTGAAAATTGACACAAAACCTCAGTTGAGAACGCTACTAACATTGCTTTTTTACACTCATATGACAGTTAAGGGACAAGCACTTCACTTCCCATTGGAAAAGATATTTGAAAATTGACACAAAACCTCAGTTGAGAACACTACTAGCATTGCTTTAAAAAAAAAAAGACGAAATGAATTCAACATAATTTAAAAATGCAACATACAGACGGATGAACCCCGAGATTCATATGTTAGAGTGAAATCTTGTTTTGTAGCCAAAGGATCTACCCTAGACCTGCCAGCTCTCTGCTTCCCACTGCCTTGAAGACTTTGAAAATAACAAGCTAGCACCTCCACAGCCATTGCCGATCCAATAGAATAATTATTTTTGAAACTGCTATGTTGTGGGTCTAGTGTTTCCCGTTATGACCGATTTAACAAGGTGACAGCTAATACAATGCTGAGAAATACATGCTCCAGAACCACCCCAGTTTAAATCTATTGGCTAACTGGCATTTTCTAAATGTGCAACGATAGTGGTAGGCATGATAATCAGGGACTCTTGATTCAGTTTTTGTGTTACAGAGAGGTAGATGGGGAGAGTAAGAAGAAAGTGGTGGGGAGAGAGGAGAGAGGAGAGAGAGAGAGAGAGAGAGAGAGAGAGAGAGAGAGAGAGAGAGAGAGAGAGAGATTCCTTCAGCATCCAGTTCCTAAGTGAATGTGAGATTCCTCAGAGATCAGTAGAGAGCACTAGGGAGCTGGCTGCTGAGATGCTAAAGCGATGATGGTGATGGGTAAGGGCGATGACAATGGCACCGGATTTCCCTGGCTGGTTCGGAACATTTCCCGGGAAGCCCCTCAGGCTCTGGCGGGTGGGAGGCGGGGATCGGCGTGGCAAATCCGCGCTTGCACCCGGGCCTGCGGGGCAGGGGCGCGGCGCTCGATTTCCTTCCCTGCCTCCGCAGGCCCTGTGCGCATGCTCGGCCTACGCGGCCCCAGCCTTTGATTGATCGGTCGGCAGCCGGCTGCGACCCTGGGCGGCTGACGGGCGGGGATGGGGAGCCCGGCGCTGGGAGCGGCGCAGTGAGCAGCGGCGGCCGGTGAGTACCGGTGAGTACCGCGGCATGGGGCTCCGCAAGAAGAACGCCAGGAACCCCCCGGTGTTGAGCCACGAATTCATGGTGCAGAACCACGCGGACATGGTCTCCTGCGTGGGCATGTTCTTCGTGCTGGGGCTTATGTTCGAGGGCACGGCCGAGATGTCGATTGTGTTCCTCACGCTGCAGCATGGAGTCGTTGTCCCCGCGGAAGAGCTGCCTTCGGGGTCCAGGACCCTGTACCATTATGGGGTCAAGGATCTGGCCACAGTGTTCTTCTACATGCTGGTGGCCATCATCATCCACGCCACCGTTCAGGAGTATATTCTGGATAAGATCAGCAAGAGACTGCAGCTCACCAAAGGCAAACAAAACAAACTGAACGAGGCGGGGCAGCTCAGTGTGTTCTATATAGTGTCTGGTATCTGGGGCATGGCCATTCTGACCTCTGAGAACTGCCTGTCAGACCCCACTCTGCTGTGGAAGGCTCAGCCCCACAACATGATGACATTTCAGATGAAATTTTTCTACATCTCACAGCTGGCTTACTGGTTTCATAGTTTTCCCGAGCTCTACTTCCAAAAAGTCAGGAAGCAAGACCTCCCGGGTCAGCTCATTTACATCGGGCTCCACCTCTTCCACATTGGAGGGGCCTATCTCTTGTACCTGAACCACCTGGGCCTGCTGCTTCTGATGCTGCACTATTTCGTGGAGCTCCTCTCCAACATATGCAGCCTGTTCTACTTTGGTGATGAGCGGTACCAGAAGGGGTTGTCTCTGTGGCCTGTGGTGTTTATATGCGGGAGACTCGTGACGTTGATTGTCTCGGTAGTCACAGTAGGTCTTCACCTGGCTGGGTCACAGAATCGGAATGCTAATGCCCTCTCTGGAAATGTCAATGTGTTGGCGGCTAAAATCGCCGTTCTGTCTTCAAGTTGCAGTATCCAGGTGTACATAACGTGGACCTTGACTACTGTCTGGCTTCAGAGATGGTTAGAAGATGCGAGTCTTCAGGCTTCGGGGAGGAAGAGACGATCCAGGTCGAGAAAAGGCATGGAAAATGGAGTGGAGAATCCGAATAGAATAGATCCTCCACCAAAGAAGAAAGAGAAAGCTCAATGAGTTGCCAGTTAATTGGTTCTTACCTCCCGGGAATCCATTCCTAACTCTGTGGTGACTCTGTGCTAGAGTTTTTCTGTTCCTCGGAGCGGGTTGTGCTCTTTGAATATTGCTATTGTGTTGTCTAATGTGTTTTTGAGGTTTTGGAAACTTCTGAGTGGCAAAAATTAAGACGAAACCACTCATCCTCAAAATACTGTCAGAATATTTAACAAACCAACACCATCAACACCACCATATTTAGTTTAGAGTCTTACCTCAGCGATATTCCAAATGATCTGTGGTGATGACTGCAGAATTGTGTGCATAAATAATAGTTTCCTGCTTCCAATGTTCTCTATGGCATTAACAAGACTGGTAGCAAAGTCATTTTCTTAAGGTTCTTTTATATCATAAAGTGGGAAATCTGACAAAGGTGTAACTCAAATCAGTTTTATGTAATTGTTGGGATTTTTATTGTTTTGAATTTACAACAGAGAAAATATTTATCAAGCCACCAAGATAATCACGTGTTTAACTGTATGAGTTGTGGTTGTCAGTGTTACCCTCCCCATTAAAGAATCAAAAAATGAATAGATGACATGTGTAGAGATACTGTAATCTATTGAACCAAAATACCTTTAATAAATATGATGGATTACTGAAGAGGTAAAGTTGTTCCTGTTTATTTTAAACACTTGTAAATGAAAACTTATAAAATTAAATATCACTGAAGAAACATACCTACTCCTTTAATTTTAAAGCAGCACTTGTAGATTCATAAATACGATGAAAGCAATATATCAGAACAATATTATTTAATATGTGAACTATTATTTAAAATAACATGTTGCATATGGTGAATATGTATATAGGTATGTGTATATATATATATATATGCAGCTAATTATATCTGGGAAATATTTGACATATGAAACTTCATTTGAAGATGAGGTGGCCAATAGATTTATGAAGTTTTTTAAAATAGTGTTGTTATTGTAACTTTATTTCCATCCTTAATTGGGAAACATCTATATAGGGCAATCTTTGTTGATTATATATGTGTCCATATGTATATTGTTTGTATCTTTACAAAAGCCAATGGATTGTGGGGGTAAACCCTTATGTCTGGCCCCAGTCCCCATGTTGATTTCATTTCCTTAGTATTGTTGGTTTTGCTTTTTCAAGGATATGGTACCTGACAGCATGCTGAGTTAGTGCTGTATGTTCCCTGCATCCCTGTACTTCTGAGGTTTCTTCTCACATTTCTCATTCCTGCTTGTGATAGTCTCTTCTTAGGTCTGCTAACCATCCAGCTTTTCCAATAAGTGAGCTTCCTAAAACTTTGTACTTACCTGGCTAATCACAGACAGAAGAGCCAGAAAAATAATCTTTTCTACTCTGTCTTCCTTCAAAGGTAAGTAACAAAGATGTCTTTCCTTCTGGATATGGTTGAGGTTTTTGCTCACTCCTTTTTTTTTTTTTCTCATTTGCTTAGCTGGTGGTGTTGGTCCATGCTCTGAGGTGTAAACTCATCTACATTTAACCAACTGTTGTGCAATTGTAAAGCCAAATTTCACCTTTGCATATGATTCAGGACTGTCTTTCCTATTCCTTACCTCTAAGGATCTAAACTGTTACTTGAATTCCAACTCATGATAACAATTTTGTGCCTATTGCGCCCTTGATTTGCAAACAATCTGTGCAAATCTAAGTGGAATCACTTAAGATCAAAGGGCAACTTCTATTTTGTTTCATATGACTGGTAACGGTAAGCGTTACTCGAACTTAGCAATAAATTTCATTAGGATCTGAGTTGAATTCCTTAAGATTCTCTTAGATCTCTCCCTTTAAATTAACTTCCAGCATGACAACCACTAACTATCTATTCTTGGATTGATGTCTTCAGTGTCATGGCAAGAAGGAAGAGTGAAACTAAATATCCCAGAGCACGGCTCTTTGGTGACTCTTTTGAAAAGGATGTTCAAGGAGTTATTGGCCTCAGCTGTGTTAATGGTGGAAAAGGAAAACTACTTACAAACTGTAAGTCCACAAGAAATGTCGGTTTGAAGAAACACTGGGAAAAGATTCTAGATACATCTATTAGTGAGTTAAGGAAATAAATATCTGCCCATAAATTTTAACAGAATCATTATGCACTTAATTAGCTTTGTATGAATTGTTATGTCTCTCTTAAAAATATTCTCAAGAAAGTCGTGATGAAAGTAACTGTTAAGGACAGCACTGGCATTAGTTAGCCACATCAGAGGCTGCAAAAGTCTGAGGATGTGTCTGGTAATTGAATCCAAAGGTTCTACTCAGAGGGATTAGTTTCAGTATTTCTCAAATTTTGTTATTTAAATAACACTGTAAGTTATAGGTGTCCTGGGATGGATTCAAAACACACTTCATGTCCAAAGTATGGAACTATGAGCATTTAATTAAAACTTTGTCAAATTGTCCTTAAATAATAAGGATGTGTCATTGTGTTGTAAGGGACAAACAAGCTTTAGGTGACAGCTTTCTGTCCTTGTCAGTATAATTCCACTTCAATCCAGTAAGGAAACCATAATCTTGGAAAACCTCACTTCATTCATCTTCCCATGTTTGTTTAATGGTATGAAAAATATGTACAGACAGCCACTGCTATCTATCTTTGGACTCCATTCAAGAAACTTGCAATTATCACATTAATAATTAAAATCTTTTTCAGAGTAAAATATTCTGATAGCCTTTTAATTTGGAGAATAGTACAATTTTCATTTCTTGTTCAACTGGACTGGAAATCATTTACTTCAGGTAAAAGGAGAATTTTACCAGTGCTTTATACAGAAAATGCTATATAGGCATAGGTGTATGTGTGTATGTCTTGTGTCTTAAGACACACTTGTATATATGTTGCCTATATGTGTATGCTTATTCTTGTGTGCTCCAGTGGGCCTGGGGTTAAAGGACACTGTAGGTCCTCACAGTCTACTTTGTTTGAGACAGGGTCTCTATGTTGTTTGCTGCTGATGGCCTTTGAGATTCTAGAGATGCTCCTGGTTCACCTCTCATCCCAGGAACATTCGGATTGCAGACATGATCTGTTGTACCTACATTTACTTGGGACTTGTAAATGCTTTAGCCACTGCAGCATCTGCCCAGTCCTTACAGCAATTTTGGAGCAAAGCCTTCAGGGGAAGTATGCCCAAAAAGCATATGAATTAAGGTGAGTCTTGGGTCCTTGCTTTTATGTCAGAGATTTTCTTCTAGTTGGGAGATAAGACATCTCAAAGAAGTACTGAGAGAAAGTGAGAGAGAGAGAGGGAAAGATATGGCTTGCCAGCTGGGTAGAATAGGCAACTTTTGATGAGTAGATGGAGGCAGTGGGTTTTCGTACCATTGGACCAGTGACAAGCAATTTCATACTCTCAGCTCAGGGCATATTTTTTTTTTCCATTTCAACTTATCAGTCAAATTGACCATCTCTAAAGCATTACCTTCCAGAGCAGAACAAAATAGCACGTGAAAAATTCCTGTAATTATGTGCAAAGATTTTCATAAATCCCTCCTACAAATTCAGAAAGACATTTCCAAATCTCAAAAGTAAGTTGAGATGTAACTTGTGAATGTTTTCAGGGATATTTATTAGCTAGTGACATTTCAGTGGAATACAGTATCTTGTTAAATAAGTTTAAAATGGGGAAAACCGACTTCACACTCATGATGTGTTTGTGTTTGAGACAATATAAGAGGGACTTGTGTCACTGATATGGGGCATAGCTACTGAGAAATCCAGACACAGTATTCATTTTAAGCTAAGGATGAATTGTTACTCTTGATTCTACCACCAGTAAATCATATCAGCTATCAGAATGAAGTAACTGAGAAAACACAAATTTCTTTTAAATGACATATTCTTGTAATCCTTATTGCTCAATTAATAAAAAAATCAGTTTTCCACTTATTTCAACCTTAAACAAAACAATAAAGCATCAAGTTGTTAAGGTTACTAGTACAAACATTGAAATTTAATTTGTAAATTTTGAGTTGTATTTTCAAAAACATTTCCAACTACCTTGATATAATTGTAGCAGAGGAAACTGACATGTAATTATGAAATGGTAATAAATGAGATCAAGCTTCATCCCTTCTTGTGATCCCCCCAAATCTATATAAGGTTTGAAAAAGACTCAAAATCCTAAGCAATGGATCACGAGTCTTTAAAGTGACAGTAGCTATCAATCTAACAATAACTCAGTGAGGATGGGTCATAGCTACACATAGTGTCAGTTTCTTTGTGTCTCTGTACATAAACTTGTATATATACTCAGATGTTATATGTTGTATGTATGGATGCATCTTGTCACATTCAATAATCTATTTAATATATGCTATGTAGGTGGCCTCTGGTTGTATTTACAATGCACATATTTATACACATTTATAGACTTTTCATGCATTTCTGATACTTGTTCACCTTATTAGGCTTTATTTCAAGACAATTTCATGATCAACGTAAAAATAGAAGTGATTGTAAATTAGTTAAAAAAAAAACCCTTCCCCTTGATAAGCTACACACAGCTGTCTCCACTATTAGTGGCACCAATAAGATATACTTTTAAAAAATTAGTAAAACTACACTGACCCATTTTCATCCAAACTCCATAATTTATGTTATGATTCATATGAGGCTTTGTACATTCTGTGAAATTTGAGGAATTTAGAAGTAATCTACTATTCTAATGTTACAGTTATTTTAATGCCTTTAACTTTCCTATGTTCAACTCATGACTATTGTGTAGGTTTGTGACCAGGCATTGGTGGCACACTCCTTTAATCCCAGCACTTGGGAGGCAGAGACAGGTGGATCTCTGTGAGTTCAAGGCCAGCCTGGTTTATAAAACGAGTGCCAGGATAGGCTCCAAAGCTACACAGAGAAACCCAGTCTCAAAAAACAAAAACAAAACAACAAAAATAAATTATAAAGTTTACTAATTTTCTCTTTTGTCCAGGTAAAAGGCAATACAAATTCTAATATA